CCGGTAGTATCACCTAATTCATCTAAATGTAAATCATCATAGAGGCTTCTATAATCACTCAATGCCTGATTTGACTGATCGTCCACTGACTCTACTACATATTCGACAGGATCTTTAATAGATCTGACCTTTCCACAATCTAGCCTCTCATTATCCAGGTGCCGCATTATCGTTTCCAACTTTTCTGTGTGAAATGTACATGTATCAAGCCGTTGCCTTTTATCCTCAATAGTAGCAGCTTTGTCTTTATCGACGCGCTTCTTTTTGTTACTAGTAGAGAGACTCTCGATTTCAAATTCATACTTTTCTGACTGAGTTTGAAGAAGACTAATGCTTTGTTTGAGCCATTCTTCAAGTTCTTCCTTTTCCTTCTGAAGGGGATCCTTCTTGGAATCCGTTGAAAGGAGACCTTCTTTGGAGTAAGCTTTGGTTTTAGTTTCCTTCTCTATAACTTTAAACCGTTCCATATCTTGCTCTATCTCCTTTCGAGCCTCTAGTAAAGGCCGCTTATCTTTAACCTCGTTCGAAGTAAGCCATGTTTTAATTTGGTCTCGCAGCCTTTGAAGCTTTTTTATTTCTTTTTTCAGATCCCCCTCAAATTTTTCCTTTTGAGTTTGGTTGGTGGACGCCTCAAACTTCTCAAGAATTTCCTTAATAGATAAAATAAAAGTTATTAAGGTTCTTAAAGGCACAGATATAAAAACAAACAAATGCCAAGACATAAGGATATTAAACGGGACGAATGAAACATGCAAGGGGCCCACCTACATTAAATAATATTTAAGTATACCTGAAATGCGAGGCGTCCCTCCTGAACGCGCTTGAGGTTACGCTCTATGTCGCCCTGCAATTTTCTCTTGTCTGCCATATAGGCTACAGCCAACTAGCTGACCCAAAGAGACCGCCTGGCTTCTATGAACATACATAAACTTTGCTCTTTATTTTGGTCACAGAAAAATTCAGATACATATATAAATATAATAACAAATAAAACTGAATACTTCAATTTTTATAACCATTAAATTCTACTTGACATAATTAAAAAAATTATTTTAATGAATCTGTTCATGCGCATCTAAGTTGAACTAGAATCCTTGTTATTCCATGACAGCATAATAAGCCAATTTATAAAAAAATATTTTAAATACCGTCTATTTGTGATCTGTACGCAATATTATTTAGTTTTGTGTACTCCTTTCGGCACCCCTATTCATCCTAATGAAATATTAATCTTTTCTTCTGGGAGGCAAGTTTAACTTTAATCGCATGGCGAGACCCAGCTTTGTGGTAAAATGGCACTTTCTACCCTTCATTGCCTTATGTGACACAGGTTGACAACGGTTCTCATTCTCGACCCACTGATAGCATAATAATGAATCTATAATGAAAGAAAATAAAGTAGCTTATAAATAAGTTAAATAATAGCTTATGGAAAGGTGCGAATTATGATACCACCTTATATTTTTTTTATTAATAGTTCCTTAAGCAAGTAGGTTAAACTATTTTGTTTAGGATTAACTAAATTATCTTGGCCTGTAGGATGAATAATCATAGGTAAAACATGTGCCCTTTAAAGTTTATTTTTCAATTGGATCGTAGATATGAAAACCAAGATGGTGTGGCTTTCTATATGGTCGCAATCTTCTTTTGCTTTATAATGTTCTTGGTTTCACCTTGTTTTTGCAACTTGTCGAAGCGTCAGGGAGACCTTGTGGAACGTACCTAGTCCTATGCCCTCAGCCATAGTATTTGTGATTTCTAGCATTGGACCATTGGTTGGGTACATTCTCAAACGTTTCGCTGGCATCGTCAGTGAGAGGCGCCAACGTAATGAGAGAGTTACGACTTATTAAAGTGACAAGTAAAGGTAATCTCCTTGAGCAATTTTATGTTTAACCGCTGTTGCATCACTCCTCGCCCCTATTTTATGTTCTACCCTCTTTTGCTGCATCACT